AGCAACAGAATCGGACTAATACAGTTAGCAATCAGCTGACCTGAAGATAGGGAGATTATCCAGTTGGCCCCAGTGTAATCAAAAGGGTCATTAAAAGTGGAAGAGGGAGGCAGAAGAGAGAAGAGGTTAAATGTGACTGTGGAAGAATGGTCAGAGAGATGACTCTTGCTGGCTTTGAATATGGAAGGAGGAGATATGAGCCAAGGCTTATGGGTGTCCTTTAGAAGCTGGAAAAGGCATGAAAAGATTCTTCCCAAGAGCTTCCACAAAGGAACTCATCCCTGCTGCCACCTTGATTTTAGCCCAGTGAGACGTATGTTAGAATTCTAATCTATAGAACGATAATAAAGCTGTGTTGTCCTAAGTCACCAAGTTTGTGGCAATTTGTTACAGTAACAATAAAAAATCAATACAGTCCTAACACACTTCTAGGATGGCTCATTAAAACTGGGGCAAGAATGATGGCCTATAAATGATGTAGACATGCTGGAACGAATTAGCAGAGTACTGAGAAAGCAGTCAGCAGCTCGGTGCAGGTTAAAATGAATTTATTACATAAGACCTGAGAACCCAACACCTGACCATGTTATTGCAGGGGGCCCTGAAACCTCACTGAGACATTGTGAGTTTGTGTGTGGGCCACTCACTAAGACACTAAGGTATGCACTAATCAGGAGAGCACTGGTATTGTTGGGAAGTTCAGTGGTGGCTGTCTCCACAGGCTAGGGTTAATAGCAGATTCTGCCATGGAACTGAGTTTCCTGGTCTCAATGGGGATGACTGAATTCTGGATTAACCAGTGGCATTTGGCTGTCAGAGGTAGAAGGGACGTAATTATATTACTACATGAGCAACAAGGCCAAAATGGCAACGAGGGTGTCTTGATCTAAAGGGATCTGTGGCAATAGCTAATAACCTTGGTGTTCCTAGGAAAGATTGACAGCCAACAAGGTAATGCCTTGATTTGTATAAACAAAACCCCCCATAAGCTTATGAAAAGGCTGATATCAGCTGTTGTGATAGGAAATTGCAACCCTTCACCCATTTTCCAGATCTAAACCAGTTCTCAGATCCAGAATCCATCAGTTGAAGGGAAGGCTGGGTTTCTTTGGAGAACCTTCCAATTCTAACACAAGTACAAGCCATAAATATTTCCCCAAAAGGACTGTGGCTGTTCACTAGAGTAGTATAGTAAGGAAAGGGAATTGGATCTTTTGAGGCTATTGGATACAGGATTTAAGATGATGCAAATCCAAAACTACATCATTACCCTCCAGATAGAGGTCAGGTGATAAATGG